TAGCCTAAATACCCATGAGCAGATGAATGGCTTAGAAAACTGTGGTACATCTATACAATGGAATACTATGCTGTTGTAAAAAAGAAGGAACTCTTACCATTTGCAACAGCATGGATGGAACTGGAGAGCATTATGCTAAGTGAAATAAGCCAGGCAATGAAATAAAAATACCACATGATCTCACTCATTTATGGATAATAAAGAACATTATAAACTGATGAACAAAAATAGATACAGAAGGCAGAGCAGCATCGAACAGACTATCAAACGACAGTGGGAAGGCTGGGGAGAGTTGGGGAGGGAGGAAAGAGATCAAGCGAAGGATTTGTATCTATGCATATAAGCATAACCAATGATGCAAGATACTGCAGGGTAGGGGAAGCCGGGGGAAGGTCAATGGGGAAAAAAAGGAAACATATGTACTACTTTTTGTAATACTTTTTAAGCAATAAAATAAAATTTTAAAGAAAACATTTAAAACAAAAACAGGCAACATGTTTTTGTTTGAGAAAGCACAAACTACACAGCTTTTGACCAGAGAACCCCTAGGACAGATGGAAGGTGTTACCAGGTTTTTGTTGCTGTCTTTCCTTCCCCTTCAGATACCTTATTGATGAAATTCTGAGTCAAGGAATAGGTTTAACAGAGAGGAAACCTAGAAAAAGTGATAGTGGTGGGTAGGGATGTGGAATTTTGCTCTTTGTTTTGGCTTTGACATTTATTTGACTAGTTGGAATAAATGATGGTCTGTGTCCTGACATGTTACTTGATATAGAAACAATTTCTTGGGAAATAGGGTACCGAAGACATGCTGATTAAGTAGTAATATTGAACAATTTTGGCAAAAGACTCTGATAAAAGATAAGGCAAAGGTGGTAGCAAAATATGAGACTTTATTCACCTCATGTGATTATTATGACAACCTTGTGAGGCAGATATCACAATTCTTATTTTAAAGACTAGAGGCCCAGTGCATAAAATTCATGCACTGGGGGTGGGGAGTTCTCTCAACCTGGCCTGCACCCTCTTGCAGTCCAGGATCCCTCACTCCTTACCTCCCTCCTGCTCGCTGCTCCTTACTGATCAGCTCCCTGTTCCTTAGCACTGTTGTGGAGGTGGGAGAGGCTCCTACCACCGCCAACTGTGATTGCCAGCCATGAGTAAGGCTTCTGGTGGAGCAGTGTTCCCCCTGTGGGAATGCACTGACCACCAGGACGCAGCTTCTGCATTGAGCATCTGCCCCCTGGTGGTCAGTGTGCATCATAGCAAATGGTTATTCTGGTCATTCCACTGTAATGGTCGCTTAGGCTTTTATTATATAAACTAGAGGCCAGGTGCACATCGTGCACTTGAGGGGGGGCGGGGTTCTCAGCCCAGCCTGCACCCTCTCACAATCAAGGATCCCTCAGGTAGAGTCCAGTCCCATCGCAGCATGGCTTTGGCCCTGGTTGGGTCTCATATGGACGCCCGCCGCCCCGGGTCGCAGATAGCAGGCCTGGATGGCGGCAGGGCAGGCGGGATGGCGCTGTCCTGCCCTGCCTGCAGTATGAAAATTAGCCTCCATCTTTGTTGGTGGTTAATTTGCATATCATGCTGATTAGCCAATGGGAGTCATAGCGAAGGTATGGTTAATTACCATGTTTGTCTATTATTAGATAGGATGATTAAACAGGATCATAAGAGCTAAGTGAATTGCTAAGTTCACATGTCCAGTAAGAGCTTGATGCAGATAATATGGGTTTGAGAATAGGTACTAAGGCTAAACTTCCCTTCATTGTGTGCTCACTTGACTGAAAACGTGACAAGTGATCAAACTAAATTGAGAGAATAACAGAGGTCGCAAAAAGGTACCACGTGCTTACCTCCATGTCCAAAATGGAAATTATCTAACCATGGCAACTGTGGTAGTGATGGGGATAGTGGTGGTAGCTGTTTTTAGTTTTTCAAATTAATCTGCTCTTTTTGATAGTGGGAGGCCCAGAGAAATCTAGGAAACATTCATAGTAAGCAAGGATGGGCAAGTGACAGATAATCTATGGTTTATATAAAACAAATATGCTGAATAAGAACCTAGGAAGCTTCCCTCCCTCCCACAACCTCTGTTTATTTGCAAAGCTTTGTTGTTGAGAAAGAAAAGATGGGGAGGCATAATCCTAGAGCTACATAAGGACACATCTGGCTTCTCTTTCTCTTTCTGCTCTGTGATGAAATAAGACTAAAAATATAAAGGACCATTCTATTCAAGAATGGCTCTTATTTCTCATGGACTTCCCTTCTCCTTACCGGAAGCCCAATATGTAAGTGAAGGTAATGTAGGCTGCTCATAATAGCAGAAAGGTCTCCTGCTGGAAGACAATGCAGAGACAGAGAGAGGTTTGGGGGAAGAGATAAACTAGCTAAGTCATATTGGCTTTCAAGCCATTAGATAAAATTGGAGTAAGGACATTATCAGGCAGACAGCGGTGGCTGTGCTCAGAATGTATGATTTGACCATTTTTTTTCTACTTTCAAGGGAAATCAGCAGCAGTGGATCTAGGATAAGAAATAATACAATAGAAAGAATATGGGCTTTTGAGCCAGACAACCTGTGTCCCAATTCCAGTTCATCAAGTTACCAAGCAAGTTACATTTCATGTACAGAAACAGTTACTAAGATGGATTTTGGGCTCTCCACACCACAAATGACATTTTCTCAATAAGAATAGACCAATTTTAAGGGTCTCTGGTAACAGAAAATGACAGGAAATGAATTTGTTAGAGCTCTGAAAATTCTATCAGCATAGAGGGTTAATCAACAAACATCTTGTGACCTTCAAAACCCTTGTCCCTTCATAGCTGAGATAGCTCCAATTGTATTCCTGCTTTGATTTTTTTTTCTATCACAATAGACACAGGAACCTGGAATTGTTATATGGATTCCAAATCCCAAAAACTCACCATTGACAATCAGTTGTATGGTGAGGTTTTTGTAGAGTCCATGCTTGCTGTTGCTCAGAGCAAAAGTGTAGTTCCCCGCGTGCTTTACATTCACTTCCAGGATTGTGAGTTTGTACTTGACAGGGTCAAGTTGAATGGTATGGTTTACTAGGAGTGGTTTTCCATCCTTGAACCTGTGAGGCATGGGGAAGGAATGGTTAGTACAGTGACAGCTTCTAGGACATAGAGCTTTCTACCCCAGTGACATTTTGATTATGCTTCATCATGATATAAATTCTCAGGCTGGAGCACCTTTGTACAGCCACACTAGTATTAAAAAATTAAATCTGTCTTTTCCTTTTTCCTTAATAATAAAAACTTTTGGAAAGTGGCCTCACCCATGCTTCCACTTCCTCACTTTCCATTCATTCCTTAACACTTGAAACTCGGAGTTTTCTCTCTGACATTCAAAACCATATTCTCCAGGTTTACCAGCAATGCCCTGCTTATCAAAGCCAGTGGCATTCTCTCAGCATTCATAAACTTCAGATCTTTGAGAGCCTCTGGGACACTATTCTAATCATTGTTTCTCTCTCTTCTTCACTGACTCTTCTTCCATTTCCTTCCTCCTTAATTATGTTTCCTACAGAGCAAGAACTTAAAATATTTCAGCAAACTGCAGAAATAAGGAGATAGGGGGCTTTGGATAAGCAATTTAGGAGTTGCTAATGATTTGAATATGTTGTGTAAATATCAGTAATAATGTAATAAAGGCTTAACCCCCCCCAATATAAATGTTCCCCTGGATTTTGCCTTTGGGTTCTTTTCTCTGGATGCACTCTGCCTGGGTGCATTTATCCACTCCCAGTTGATGACTCCCCAGCTGACAGCTTCAACATGTAGTTCCAGACCCATATTTCAAAATGTTAATTGACTATCTCTAAATAAGCTCATCCTGGTGTTCCTTTCCTGCTCCATTCACACTACATTTTCATCCTGATGTAACCCAGACTGGTAATAGCAGCACCAGTTTCACGTTCCACCAAACTTAAAAATTGTGAAAGAATTATAATTTTGGGTTTTGATTCAGACATCTAATTGGATACGGAATCCTGAAGATTCTGCCTCTGCAATGTTTTCCAAATCTATTTCTTATATCTCATTGCCTTCAGATTATGCAGGGCCATATAATGTCTCACAACTATTGCTATAACCCTATAAGCTGGTAGCTATTTCTCTAGTCTTTCTCCATTCCAAACCATTTGACACACATAAGGCCATGTTAATATTCCTAAAGCTTAGCATCAAATTTATCACTCCCAAATCCAGTCTTTGATGATTCTCTACTGTCTACTTTAATAAGCAATAGAGATTTTAAAAAAAACAATAATTTATCATTTACTCCTTAGAACAATTCTATAATAATAGAATATCACCACACAAATTTTACAGATAAAGAAACTGAAAGTTAGAGAGTTTAAGTAACTTGCTTGGTAACTTGATGAACTGGAATTAGAACACAGGTTGTCTGGCTCAAAAGCCCATATTCTTTCTATTGTATTATTTCTTACCCTTAAAGTATCTCTATTAGACTGGGTAAGATTACCTTCAAGACTCCTTCCAAATCTGAGATTATGGAATTCTGCAATAGCCTTGGTACCTTCCCAGTCTTATTTCCTCCTCTCTTTTCAGAGTAGAAAACTCATTTTTCCAAATACATGAAAGATCAATAAAAGAAAATGGAAACAAGCAAAGAAACCTATAGAGGAGAAGATAAAATACTAGTTTCTAGGGCTGTCAGTGCCCTGAAAGTAGGATTGGGGTTAGGGTATATTTCTGAGTCCTCACTACCTAGCCCAGGGTCTGCTGCAAGACTGACCTCCAGTAAGGATGTATTGAAGGAACAGGTGTTAAGGGTGGGAATTAAGAGACTCTTCGAAACAGGAAACACCCAGGATAAAAGGCCCTACTTACCAGGTTACATTGGGGTGAGGAAAAGCATCCACTCTTACTCCCATTTTGAGCATACTTTGTCCAGCTGTCACCTCATAGATGCGACTTCTCTTGTAGCTCACATTGAGGAATGGTTTTTCTAGAAGTAGAACAGGGATGGAGTCAGAAGAAGAAGGTTTAACTGAGTCCCAATTTTGTTCACACTCCCATTAGCAATCACATCCTTCCCAACCCCAGAAGGATCAATCTTGATTATCATAAGCTGGTGTTTCTCAGTGTGGATTGGAGGGAGGCACTGTTGGAATTTTTAAAGGGATAATTCTTTTTTTTTCATTTTTCTTTTTTTTAAATCTTCACCCGAGGATATATTCATTGGGTTTTTTTTAATTCTTTTTTTGTTGTTGTTGACAGTATTACAGATGTTTCCCATTTTCTCCCTTTCTGCTCACTTCTACCCAATCCCTGCACCACACCAGGCTGTCCTCATACTATTATCTGTGTCCATGAGATATGCATATCCTATATAATAAAGAGCTAATATGCAAATGGTCATCACACCTTCATGCTGTCACACCCTAATGGCTCAGACACTCAACACTGGGGAGAGAGGAATGGGGACCAGCCAGGCACAAATGAGCTCATGAGAGACGAATGGGGACCAGCAAGGCACAAATGAGCTCGTGAGAGAACAATAGGGACCAGCCAGACTGCAGCCCAGGAGAGGGACAAGCCGCCTGCCCCATGGTCCCGGGTGCCAGAGGCTGCGTCTGCACCTGTGGCCTGGGAGAGGGACAAGCCATCTGCCCTGCAGTCCCAGGTGCCAGCACTTGTGGCTGCAGCTCAGGAGAGGGACAAGCCACCCACCCCACAATCCCAGGCGCCTGTGGCTGTGGTCCCGGCAAAGCCACTCACCCACAGCCCCCTGTGGCTACAGCCAGTCTGGGCAAAGCCAGCCCGGGTTCTGGGTACCTGCAGCTAGCCAGAGAGAGGGAAGCCTGGGTCCCAGGTGCCTGCGACTAGCTGGAGGAGGGAATCCTGGGTTCCAGGTGTGGGGTGAGGCAGAGGCAGTTAGGGGAGAACAGGCAAGCAGAGGAGCAGTTAGCGGCAATCAGGTAGGCAAGCAGAGGTGGTTAGGGGAGATCAGGCAGGCAGGCAGAGGGGTAGGGGTGATCGGGCAGGCAGGCAGGTGAGCCGTTAGGAGCCAGCGGTCCAGAATTGCGAGAGGCAGTCAGACATCCCCCGAGAGGTCCCGGATTTGAGTGGGTGCAGGTCAGGCTGAGGGGAGCACCCCCCCCCCCCCCACAACTTTCATGCACTGGGCCTCTAGTATGCATATATATCATTTGGTTAATTTCTTCCTGTATCCTCCCATTTCCACCCTCTTCACCTCCCCACTAAGATCTGTTATTCTGTTCTATGCATCCATACCTCAGGACCTATTTTGTTCATTAGATTCCACATATAAGTAAGATCATATTATATTTGTCTTTCTCTGACTGGCTTATTTCACTTAGCATAGTAGTCTCCAGGTCCCTCCATGCTGCCTCAAAGGGTGAGAGAACCTTCATTTTTACAGCTGCATAGTATTCCATTGTGTAAATGTATCACATCTTTTGCATCCATTCATCTATTGATGGTCACTTGAACTGTTTCCAGATTTTACCTATTTAAATAATGCTGCTATGAACATAGGGATGCATTATTTTTAATTTAAATTCTTTATTGCTTAAAGTATTACATATGTCTCCTTTTTCCCCCATTGACCTCTCCCGGCCATTCCCACCCCCAGCACATGCCTTCACCCTCCTACTGTCTGTGTCCATGGGTTATGCTTATATGCATTCATATAATTCATTTGGTTGATCTCTTACACCCCCGCTCCCTGCCTTCCCTCTGAGGTTAGATGGTCTGTTCGATGCTTCTGTGTCTCTGGATCTATTTTTCTTCATCAGTTTATGTTGTTCATTGTATTCCACAAATGAGTAAGATCATGTGATATTTATCTTTCTCCGACTGGCTTATTTCACTTAGCATAATGCTCTCAGTCCATCAATGCTGTTGCAACTGATAGGAGTTCCTTCTTTTTTATAGCAGCATAGTATTCCATTATGTGTATGTACCACTGTTTTTAAATACACACATCTGCTGATGGGCACTTAGGCTGTTTCCAAATCTTAGCTATGGTGAATTGTGCTGCTATGAACATAGGGGTTACATATATCCTTTCTATTGGTGTTTCTGATATCTTGGGATATATTCCTAGAAATGGGATTACTAGGTCAAATGGGAGTTCCACTTTTAATTTTTTGAGGAAACTCCATACTATTCTCCACAGTGGCTGACCAGTCTACATTCCCACCAGCAGTGCACGAGGGTTCCTTTTCCTCCACATCCTTGCCAGCACTTGTCATTTGTTGATTTGTTGATGGTAGCCATTCTGACAGGTGTGAGATGGTACCTCATTGTCGTTTTGATTTGCATCTCTCAGATGCATATATTCTTTATGATTGATGTTTTGGGCTTCTTTGGATATATTCCCAGAAGTGGGATCACTGGGTCAAATGTAAGTTACATATATATTTTGTAGAAGAATCAGGTTTTATTTAGTGATGTGAACATTAAAAATATGCCTACATCGCTGAAATATTCACAAGGGACATGATCATTCATTCACATTCATACACTCAGAGGAATAAAAAAATGCTTCTTTAGTCATTCAAACTGCTGTCAGGGAGAGCAAAGAGCTTGCTTATCCCACTGGGGGGCTTCAGTCTTCATGAATGTTGAATATTTTAGCTACTTCATTTAGATCTTCATGTTGCTCACCATCCTTAATGATCTTCCTTGCTATCGGCATTCAGTTGAAGATGTTCCACAGCACAATCCCCACCACCACTTTGTCCCTGAGGTAGAAGATAACACCTTTCCCATAGCCCTCCCCTTCAACAGGGACCTGGAGGACCCGAGGGTTACTTGGAAGAACAGGGATTTCTGTGGCTTCTGACTCTGTCTCACTCTCTGATCGAATACCAGTCCCTGACTGCTCTGTGGCAGATTTCGGGTTATCTTGTGCAGACGGTTTTGCAAAGACATCAACCGTGGGCAAACTATTATCCACAAGACCAGTAGCTTCATAGCCAACATCAGGGCCCAAATTGCTCCAGAACATTGACTGATGCCAGTATGGCTTAGCAGCTCCAGTCATATTTTCTCCAGCCAATCTTCCGCTCACAACAGCATGATCATGGTGCTCTACCCGCCTCCTACCCAATTTTATATCATAGAAGCATGCAGCATCTCCTGCCACCCAGATGTTAAAGTGTGCTTGGAGCTCTGCATTTACCAGGAAGCCACCAAAATCTGAGTCTATTTCTAGTCCACCAGTCTTAGCCAACTCAACATTGGGCTCTATGCCCACAGCTGCAACTATGTGGTCAGTTTCTACCTTCCGGCCATCTTTCAGCTTGATGAGTAACCTGCCACCACTGACTCCAACTGATTGCACAATGGCATTGGGCAGCACCTTCACCCCCTCTCGTCTGACTTTTTCCATGGTCCAATTGCTGAGGTATTCAGGGAGGACCTTTCCCATATTTCCGTTCGCAGGGAAGGGTTGAATCACTTCGGTGCCTGAGGCTTGAGCTTTTCTGCCAAGAGCACAGGCCAGTTCACTACCAAGGAAGCCCCCACCGATAATCGTAATCGACTTGACTTCCCGGTAAATCTTCTCTAAGGTTCTAAAGTCTCCAATCTTTCTGAAAAGTGTTTTTCTACTCTTCACCTCTGCTCCAGCCCTATCAATGGCAGACAGAGTTCTGGGAGTGTCTCCTGTTGCAATCAAGCACTTTTCATAGGTTATTTGAGAGCCATCATTAAGTTTCACCATGTTGCCTCTCACATCTACATGTACTACCTTCTTCCCAGTGAGGACAGCCACACCACCATTCTCAATGTGAGGCAGGTCCTGAGCAGAGACATAGAAAGAAGGTGGCTGGAAATATATGTTTCTCTCTTTTACATTCCACTGCCTGAATCGCAGTGTCTTTGTGACATTTGGATCATCTGAAAACCACAGTTCTTTTTAAGGAG